GTCTTGTATCTGGTCTTGTGTCTGGTCTTGTGCATGGTCTTGTGTCTGGCTTTGTGTCTGGTCTTGTGCATGGTCTTGTGATGGTCTTGTGCATGGTCTTGTTTCTGGTCTTGTGCATGGTCTTGTGTCTGGTCTTGTGATGGTCTTGACAACAACACTGGCTACAAGGAACCCTCAACATTTTTTCCCTATGCTATGAGTTTCTTTTTCATCAGACTGCCAGTTATACTTACATCAAAGTAAACAGAGGTAGAGCAAACTAAAACGTTCTGAAAAATGGTGCTAAGATTACATTTTATAGGATCTTATTATATGTGGTTAATATAATGGATGAACATCAGAAAAAAGACCGTTAAGTTTGGCAGGAATTTCGTAGTGCGGGCAGGAATTTGAGTGCTTTTGATGATGAGTGTTTTTTTCCCTCAAGCTCTGGATGCCTTGTCAAGATGTGTATTTCAACAAGCTTTTGTATTTGTTTATTGTAATATTGTGGCCCATGCTCAAGAGCTCAAAGTAGGTTTACACATGTGTATATGCATGAAGACCAAGTGCAGACATACCATAGACTTTCTGGCTTTTTTGACTAAAATTTTACTCTCGACTCTTTAAACGGATGCCACATTTATGGAAGACACCAAGGAACCCTTATTTCTGTCTCTCTTTGGTTTTCGGTAAAAGGTGCCCACGATGGCCATCGAAAAGGTGTTTGTGTATAACAACACATCCATCATACAGGACGAGATCTTAGCGCATAGGCTGGGACTGATACCGATCAAGGCAGACCCACGGATGTTTGAGTATCGGCAAGAGGGTATGTCTAGGGGGGGCATAGCTGGTGGGCAGTGGGGTCATAGGTCATGGGCTGATACCCATGAAGTCTGGCAGACCCAAGAATGTTTGACTTTTGGTCATTCTAGCTGCTACTCTTACAGTCCTGAATTTCTGAAATTCAGTCACTTTTTTTATGTACCTTTGGATTGGGTTTAAGAAGGTGTGCTCACAATTTAAGTTTTGAGAAGAATCACTATTGTTTAATTCTGTTATTTTTTCCTAAAAGTGCCCTTTAAAGAAAAGTTAACATTTTTTAGAAAAACTGTAGCCTCATCGATATACTGTATTCACTGTGCTTCCTTTTCTGTGATTTCTGTCCTCAGGTGATGAGGAGGGAACGGCAGAGGACACCATTGAGTTCCAGCTCAAAGTGAAATGCGCCAAGAACCCCAGCGCTGCCAAGGATGCAACGGATCCTGATGAGCTCTACAAACACTCCAAAGGTAAGCGCCCCTTCATTGGCTGATGGGGAGTGCTCATTTTGTTGGAAGCTACGCGACTGTAACATGTGCGTTTCATTGTCATTTGTGAGCCAGTGAAGTGCAGTTTCCACCGTCACTAGGAAAATGCGCCCTCTCTTGATCCCGCTTTGGATGGATACAGCTTTGACAATTTGAAGTAAAGAGGGAATAATTAATTAGGAATTCAACCAGCACACGGCTGTTGCTAGGTCATGTAATAAGAACATCAGAAGGTTTAAATAGGGAAGAAAAAAAGATTCCGATCAGTTCTAGCAATAAGGCATGGCACAAGTGATACTGCTGATTCCATCCCTGACCAAATTCCACCCGAAGTTTTTTCAGGATTTTGGAGGAGTATGAAATATAAGTCTGCTAGTTTTAGTTCTCAAGGGGCTTGATGCTCCTTATAGTTCAAGTACAGCAAATTAGTTGTTGTTTGCCTGCACAGCGGAGGACTCAGGAAAGTTTCTGGCAAGAATACCACAGGGTTAAGGTTCCGTCTCTACCTTTGAGGGGACTTCAAAATATACAGCCTCAGAAGTGGCAAAGGAATACGTCTCATTCACGACTTTGGTGATAATGAGGGGAATGATGCTGTATTTGATTGCTTTTTGTTTTCACCATAAGTAACCACAGAGTACCTGAAGTGGATCCCCATAGGCAACCAATCAGAGATGGTAAGTATGGCTGGTTTATTATTGCAGAGCTGCAATAAACCAGGAAGCATTTCATAGTTCTCTTTTTTTCTTCAAGGACAGTACAGTGGAATGTTGCTATACCGGACACCACTGTACCGAACATTCGGCTGTACCGATCATCGTCCTTGGCTCCCAATAATTTGTGCACAAAACTTACTGAACATTATGTAGTTGCAAATCAACAGAGATTCGTCACAGCATGCATCAGAGATTGATCCTGAGCGGTAGCTTCATGACTTATAGGATGAACTAAATATCAATTTTGTAACTCAAGATTTAATAAAAACAAAAAATAATTAACAAATTCATTTCTAGAAACTTCAAACGTGAATACAATGGCAAAACATCACAAAAACAGCAAATCATAGTATCACAAGAGGGTGCACTTCAGTTAGACGAGAGATGGCGCTATTCAACATGGCAACGAAACATTCGGCAGTTATTTTCGCTATACCGAACGACCACTGCACCGAACATTTAGCGTGGACCCCGTCGTGTCCGTTATAGCGGCGCTCCACTGTAATTTCAAAGTCACATCTTTGGTAAATTATAAGTTGTTTCCATTCTATTCAAATTCATGATACATTTTGAGTATTTGACAGTGTTGTATTCAAGAGTGTCAGGAAAACCATTCACGAGACCATCCAGAAGACCTCTTACGAGTAACAGGGTGAACAACGACAAAGGAATGCTTTTGTTGCCTTTCTTTTGAATAGCTTGTGCCTTGAAGCCAGACTGGAGGTCTTGTGTTGGTCTTGAAATGGTCTTGTAGGGGTCTCGTCTGGTCTCTGGTCTCGTTTTTTTCTAATGCAGTATGGGGAAGGAGCCATTCGTCCTGTTCACGACGACATCCTGATTGCCAAGCTGAGACCAGGCCAAGAGATGGATCTCAAGATGCATTGCGTCAAAGGCTTCGGCAAGGATCACGCCAAGTTCTCGCCTGTGGGTACGTTTTCTGGTCAGATGCTGTATACAGATCACAACACGGGTCTTATGTGGACAAGAGGGGCATGATCCACACTTTCCAAACTGCGGGAAATCAAAGCCTAATTTGCCCTAACTAAATAAGTTAGCAAGTCACCAGAACTAATTCTGACTTTCTTGCTCTTTTGCCATTCTTGCACAGTGCGAGTCAAAAGAGACGTTAAAATTTTTACTCAAATGATATCTGTAAGATATAAAAGATTTAGTTTACCATATTGGTTGTTAAAAACTAAAAAGCGTCAAATGCACTCTCGTGGTCATAAAAGCCAATGAAGCGGAAAAGAAAACCTTTCATGTGTAGCACCGATTAACAATATTAATTGGCTTTGCTTCGGAGATGTTAATCTTATTTGAGGTGTTTTTCCTGATACACCAACTTATATATTCACACTATATCCTCAGTGAGGGTGGAGAGCTGTGAAATAATCACACGCTTGATCGGTTGGGATTGGAACCCATGACTTCCTGCTTTACTAGTGCAGAATAGTCACTCGATCTCCTAGTTTGCCAGGATTGGGAGGCTGGCTCAAATCCAGTGCAGTCAAAGATAATGTGGGTTTTTTTTCACTGCTCTCGGATCACACCGATGCATCAATGCAAGTGCAAAACATAGTTTTAGAAAAAGAGATTACTAGCTGGAAACCTACTCAACATTTCTTCACTTTGTTTCTGACATTCACAATGAGCTTCCTGTGCATTCAACAGCTACCGCATCCTACAGGTTACTCCCAGAGATCATCCTCACAAGGCCAGTAGAGGGGGAACAAGCTGACAGGTTAGCCCAGTGCTTCTCCCCCGGGGTCATTGAAGTCAAAGAGATCAATGGTGAGTTCCGTACATTATGGTAGACATAGTTACTGCTACATGCATTCTATGTGCTGAAAAAAAACCACAGATAAGGATCTGCTGCCACGAGCCAGAGCACTCGCCCGTTAAAACTGGCTAGAGAGCATAATGCATTTCAACGTTTGTCCCCATTTCCTGTTCCATTTATTCCAGGAGTGAGGCAAGCTGTGGTTGCCCATCCCAGACGAGACACTTGCAGTCGAGAAGTCCTCAGACATGAGGTAAGGGCAGTTGGCTCTTACAACTATGATGACAGTGGTTTAACCCTAACAGCCTGGGGGGGGGGGTTTGACCATTTCACTGCAGTGGGGGGCCCCAAGAACCCGGCTTTCCCACACCCAATCTGTTTGAAACTTGGCAAGTTTGTGAAGACAATTCTCATGAGTACATCAGTGAAGTTTCAGTTTAGTCCAATCTGTGGCTTTTGTTTAATACAGCCATTTGAAGTTCATGGCCTCACACTTATGAGCGCTGGGCGTAACCAGTCGGAAAAGTATACATTTTAGACTGACTCGTCTAGGAAAAATGGTTGTTTTATGAGATTTTCTGATTTTCACTAATTGGTTTCAAAGTGATCACCCCGCCCCAGCTGTTTCAGGGTTGTCAGAACTTGAATTGATTAAATGTCTAATATAGTTTCATGTTAGTGTCTTGGTGTGGAAAATTAAATGCTTTGACCATCCATCAGTACAGTTATCCAAACTCAGATACATTTGCATAAACTAATTTGTAGCCCTGTAACTAAGCAGTAATTGAAGTAAGAAGCACGCTCTTTTCCCCCTTCAAATGTTAACGTAGAATTAAAGGAACTAAAGAAAGAAAGAAAGAGATAAGCTATAACAATCACCTGCTTTTTCCATTTTGCAAAAAGGACTTGAAAGATTGTGTGAAACTCAACCGAGTGCGGAATCATTTCATATGTAAGTTGGTTGCACAGAGGTTTATTTTTAAAGCAACATTGTTGCTCCTGAAAAGGACAAGAACGACTGAATTTATCTAAAAAAATAAATGTCAGCCCTGGAGAAGGTTTCAGTTTGTGCATCGTGGCACGACAGATCTAGGATCGTGTATGCTAGGGCGAGAAATGGTTTTCAATGATAATTATCCATAGAGATAAGAGAAGATGTCATATTAACCACTTGCTGCCGGGGAACCCTGTTTCGAGCACGATGGGTTTATACGCAGAGACCGGCTGCCCGAAATGGGACAAAAAGAGCTGGTCCATGTAACAAAGACCGTACTCGTAACAAAAGACCTGCTGCTGGGAATTGCCATCATTTTTCAGCTTGCATTTTTCGAAGGTAATTTGTCACTGTTTTGAAACAGTATACCACTGTTGTGGGCATAGCCCGCCCGCGGTTTAGCACCGCGGACAAAAGTGCTCCTGAGCCCCATTGATGAGCGACACAGCACCGCTGCATGCTAATCCAGCTGCATTTGAAAAGACGCCACTCATATTCACTGGGGACGAAGGAAATTACACGACACCTCACATTTCTGGGCTCTCTTTACAGGGCGGCAGGCCTGGCTGAAATACTCAGGAGTCAATGAAGGTTGCCTGTCAGCTTAGAGTAGCCACCAAACAGTCATTCATGTGGGTGTAAACGTCCATTTAAAATGAAATGATAAATTTTTGAAGAATTTTGAAGAATAAAAATCTCCTGCACTGCATTTTTAAAAGCACCCGGCAGCAAGTGGTTAATGTCATATCATTAATAGATTATTGTGAGTTCTTTGATCTTGTTTAGTCCTCTTAATGTTTGCAAATTATTCACTTTCAATTTTGAAGTTGAAAAGTTGTGGCACATTGTATTGTGAGTCCCTGCTGCTAGTGTTTTTGACATTAGCATGATTGAAAACAAAAACAAGAAAGTTTAGTTGAGCTGTCCATCTGTGTACGCTTCTTGCTCCTTCACTGTCAGTTTCAGTGGAATCAACTGGTGCCCTGCCTCCAGAGACGCTGGTGTCCGAGGCCATCAAGATCCTCATGACCAAGAGCCGCTCCTTCAAAAGTGAGCTGGAACGACTCGGCACGCAGCCAAGATGACGTCCCAGCAGCCGCCGCGGAAACATTCGACCTAAAACTGGTAGAACATTCTGTTTTGCTTAGGCCTGCACTCATACCTCAGTGTTGCCTCTGGATTTTGAATTCCAGCTCAAATCATTCAAAATTTGAAGAGAAAACAATGCAAATATTACTCTTGAAACGCAGCCCATAACAGAGCTCTTGTTTGTGTGATATACAGACATTTGTGCTCCATTTAAGTTTTAACCTGATCTCCCTCCAAGAATGATTTGCTTCACGGATCCAACAAAACCGTCTCTTCAGAGGCCAGATGAACACCATGTACGACTGCGCCAGTTAATTTACAAAAACAGTGCTCTGAGTGCTGAATTCGCAGTAGTTACTCGAAACCAACTTTTGGCAACATGAAGATCACTGAGAAAAACTGGACTATGCATGTCGGTAAAGAGTTACAACCATTTGTAAATAAATAAACAAGCACAGCGATGACCAATATGTCTGCTCAATGATACTTTATTACAATACGCTTCATTGAATACTAAGTACAACATAATTCCTGTTTTTTTCCTTTTACTGTTAAATACTGTGGCGGGAGCTACATCCAATACACAGACACTGTTTCTACCAACTGCACATTCATTTTTTTGGTTCTTAAATACGTTAAGATCTGATCTTGCTTGCCTGTTTTTTGTTCTCTGTACAGATGTCCTTTCAATCTACGCACTAATTTTCTGTTAAACTTCTCAGATCTAAATGCAGCTTTTTTTGTGAGCTTCGTCCATATGGCTCACCTAGGTACGTGTGATGTTACAATGTTACAAGCACCCTTAGATGGTTTCAACTAGTTTAAAACAGATAACGTTTTTTCAAGTTTCAACATAAAGAAAAAAAAATCAAAAATAGTACTTGTAAAACTCAATTATTAATTTACAAAATAAGGCCTTACAATTTTTCGATGTTTTTAAGTTACTGAAAAAGTTTTCAGCAATGTTTTCGGTGGTCACTGAAATTTATACAGGGTTTAAATAATACATGCAAATATTCACTTATAGGGCTTTACAAATGGTTGAATTATACAAAGGTGAATTATCTAGCATAAAAATAGTACTTTTTTCCATAAAAGGAGCTAAACGTATTTCATGAGCTAAGTATTCAAGGGTGCCCTTTCCAGGAACTTGTAAAACAAGAAACAAACTAGCCTAAAAATGTGTTCCATTTGATTGTTTGGTTTTCAACATTTTTTCAAGGTTGCAGCGATCACTTCCCTGCAATTCTGCATGGTCACCATGGTTACCGTCAAGTTCTATTCAACATTGCAGTTACACTGCTCAACATTAAATCTTTCCTCCTGCATTTTGGTTATCCATTGCATGTATAAGAATGACCGTGAGGGAAAAAACTTGACGGTTAAATAATAAAAAAAAAAAAATCTTATACTACAAGATTGCAGTTGCATAAAGAAATGTACAAATATATATTTTAGAAAAATTACACTCAGCGAAAGCCCTTCATTACAAAATTCAAGATCGTCTCCAGTTTACAGTGGCCCATTCCGAGAAACAGCAAATTCACTGGACATTGAACATCTTCTCTTCTTTTCAATTCGGTCTATCAACATCTTTAGCCATGACAAGTTTCACGAAAGATGATGGCACTGGCCCACTGACATAAGCAATTTGGGTGGCTGTGAAAAGTTGACACCATATGGTACTTTCAAACTGAGGCGGACTAGGCTTTCTGACCAACAATAAAACTGCAGAAGAGTTTAAGACCGCATCAAAGTCTTGAAAAAGACGTACGAGCTCAAGTTGAGGTTCTACTAATGATGAATCTACACCATCATCACTGTAGTCTCAAGCTGAAATGAAGTCACTACAAATTCATATCTAATATAAATAAGCCGTTAAAATAGGTAATTGGTGCGAAGACAGTTTCAGTGATTTTGGGACAATTTCATAGAAATAAATAATTCCTGTATGGCTTTGTGGAAAGATGTGCCCTTGTCCTTGAAAAATGTTTCACTGTTAAAGGTTAAATGAACAAAGATTCCATCAAGATGGTGCACTGAAGTTCAAAAAATAATACCTCTATCTATTTCAAGTACAAAGTTGCAATTCTACACTATCAATACAGGTCTAATCTACTACAAATCACAATTCCATATTTAACAAATAATTGTTGCGTATTTTGCGACACTTTCTTTTTCCTCCCCGCAAGACAAGAGGGAGAATTCATCACATTGAAGACAAAATCTAGTCAAAGAAGACTTCCTTTGGAGACATATGACCATTTTCCAAACCCCGGCTTCATCTCTTGATCTTGCATTAAGAGAAACTTTTTATAGATGACATTAACTGTGGCCTCATGTTGAAAGAATTTGAAGTTTCAGAGGTACATCGAAGACCAATACTCAAGATTCCATTCGAGTCAACGGGCCTACAATCTGATAGACAGACAGGAAATAAAGCCGCGATTTAAAAAAATGCCCCACAGAAATCTTCCTTGAACAACTTGATCATCGTACAAGGCAGACCACTATCATAGATGTACATTACATGAACACATTTCTTGGTTTGTCATTATACACACATGAACTGTACATTCATATTCCTAAGGAATATAATTACAACATTCTTCATCCAGTCACTTGAGACTCGCACAAAGACGGCAGTTACCTGTTTAAATACCATGATCCTTTAACTTTTTTTTTTTACACATAATGCTTTTAAAACCACACAAAAATACAAACCATGCACTACACTATGTACTATTTTGCTGTACATGTCAAGTATTTTACATTTCCGCCCCCAAAAGACTTCCTTTTGACATGAATTGCAATTTGCAAATTTGTGTGTGCTTCCAATTTGCATAGCTGTCAAATTTCCACTCGTTACTGAATCGCAGCGTTACAATCTTCCACGTTACTGAATCGCAACGTTACAATCTTCCACATGTTACTGAATGGCAGCACTACAATTTTCCACTTGTTACTGAATGACGTTGTTACAAAAGACAAGCTTAAGCACTTGGCCAGCATAGTGTAGATTAAGACGTACCTTGATTATAAGCCACTTCAAGAATTATTTTGCGCACTGCCACGAGACCAACATTCTGGCCCTTGACATGACACCCTGGAGCCTCCTGAACTACATTCATATCAGGAGCCAGCATGAATGAACTAATGTACCCCTGGTTCCACAGAGATGATGCATTGGTGCATTTTGGAAGCTGTGATAAATCACCATTCTGTGAACAGTGGTTGAACGCGGTGGCGATTCATCCTTTTTTTTTTTTGAGCAGCAATGACCAGTTAATTGTGAAGTCGGAAACATGTTATCACTTTCACGGATGCCAAAATGCATCCCGGTTTGCAAACGGATTTTATGACCCAGAGAAAATAGTCTGAACCAAGTATGGGCACACTTTGACTTCGCGGACTCATTTGCCGTGTTCATGCATGGAGAACTGCTGTATTTATATCACCTGTGTTTTACACAAACTGTCTTGACATTCTAACACATTCTTAGCAGTGTTCAGACAGTCAATGGTTTCCATAATCTTGCAGCCGAAACTCACTTGCATGACAACAAGAAATAAGGCCCACTATAATTTCGAGTTGTCTCACCGATTAAAAACAGAAGGTAGCTCATTAACAATACACATGTACCACTTCCCGTACAAAACAGTATATATCTCCATACCTCCTGCACTCTGAACCCCCTTTTTTTAACGAGCAAGCAGTCATGGAGTTTTCAAATAAACTGTCCAAGAAGGTCCAATATCATGTACAAGAACAATGGACGGCTTGATTTTGCACAATTATATCATTTTTAACAGCTTTAAGACTGCAACACTGTTACTTGGTGTCACCCTCAAACACATGTGAAAATGCCCCTTAAATTTTTTTTAATAGTCATTACTCCCTCTAATTTCTCAATTCAAGTAATGAAATTCTGCCAGATTTTATGTCACTGTTGTCCGTCTGCTTAAGAAAGCAGAAAAGTTTCACTACACCATCTTTCAGTTGGGCCTGCTATGGACAATACAGGCACTGAATACATTCACTGCATCTAAATGTACACACTGCATGTTGGTGCATGTCGAGGGGAAAAATGCATCGGTGTTTAACTGCGCACGAAGTACAGATGACACTATGAGGCCTACAAGGAAGACAAGTGAAAGACGCCGTGCATATGTAAAACTGCTTTGCTTTCCCATCCCAAATAATGCTGAGGGTGCAGTAATGCATAGAGTTGCTGTACTATTGTAATACGGCCGATTCACAACAGTGCGCCCTCAAGAGTTAGCAACGTGTTGGTCAATCACAGTGTGCAAAATCTGTCCACCCAATGCGCTATGGAAAGGGTTGACAGATTTTGCACATTGTGATTTACCAACCCGTTGCAAACTCTTGGGGGCGCACTGTTGTGAATCGCCCGTATGAGTAATTCAAAATCTATTCTAAAGGATCATTATGCACAGACGCACATGGATCCCAATTACTGTAAATCTACACGAGACCTCTTTGGTGAATAAAAAGAAACCAGAGCCTGCAACACCTATTGAAAGTTAGTGACATCCTTCACAGCAAATACTCGTATTCATGTTCCAAGTCACACACAATTTGCAGCGAGGCAAATGTAAAAGGATGTGACCACTGCAAGAAACGAGCCAAGTTGGCGCGAGCAATCAGCGGGTTCCAACACCCAAAATGGTTGGCGCCACACTGAATAATACCCGGCAGCAATGTACTGGCACAAGAAGTCAGCAACATACAAAGTGAACAACCAAAACAGAGAAGAGGTCCAATCAAGAGCTGAAATTCCCTGGAATGTGAAAATCTGAAAAGACGTTTTTTTGTCAGCGAGCTCCATCCTGAGGTTCAGTGAAGATTTGCATCCAACTTGCTCTTGGCAGACACTTGAAAATTTCTTCCACGACATCACAATTTTAAGAGGCCAAAAGAAATCGGAGCCCTCTTTTTTGAACTGAGTAACCACCTTGCACTTTGTGAATACATGTGCAATACTTCCTTGCAGAGATAACTGTACTTATTAATATAGTGCAAAATTGTGCAATTTCTTTTACATTCAAACACATTTTTTTTAACAAAGTAGCAGTAATCCATTTTAACTCGTGTATTTGCATCTTTCTGTCCCTACACTTTCCAAAACAATTTGTGTAAATATCAGGATGCTGCAGAGGATAAACATTATTTCTGTCCAACCAATACAAACAAGGTCAAGTCGAGGTGTTTCTAATCTCACACTCAACACGTTTTCCTATGGGTTGCTCACTGATGGTCTATAATTCAAGGCTTAATATTATTACAAAATATGATTTAAACAATTTAAACATTAAGATTACAATAAAACTTTACAAAAACAAAACTGGATACAATTAAAAAACAAAAAACAGAATTCTCAATAGGCAAGGAAGCATGGACAACCTACAATTCTGTCAAAACAACAATGTATCTACACAATACCAAGCTGTAGAGTTGTTTCAGTCAAAATGCTACATCATCCAAGGGCCTTGCTCAAGTCTTTGGTTTAAGATGCAGGGTTAGCTGGATTTTAAGCTCAATACAAATCCAAGCTCTACTACAGCCACCTTTACACTGTACAATATGAAGCCAAAGATGGATCATTTTGGCCACACACCGCAGGCCTGCAAATGGTTCCTGGGCCAGAGATGGCACCCCAGCTGGACGTTAAGCCCAATGTCAAAAAAGCCCGGAGATAAGCACCAGAGTACATGTGCACCTCATCATTAATTAAGGGGAAAAAAACAGGCACGCAATGTTACATCAAACTGGCCTGACAAAAGTTAGTAAAAAAAAATTGAAGAAAAGAAAAGAAAAGTAAATACCGTTACTTGAGTCAATTAACCATAATATCAAATGAGTCATCGGATCAACCTGGTTATAACTCAATTGCAGTTTCCCACTTTGTACTGTTGAAGTTATCACGTGGAACATCGGTCACACTTCTAACTCGGAAGAAGCATGATAATGCCTCATGGGAAAGTAGCTCAGATAGCTTTCACTCAGGGAGAAGGAATGCATTCTTAGGCTCGGAGTAAAACAAAATTAAAAACTCCGTCAGCAAAGACTGGGAGCCAAGGTACCTATCTACACTCTCCAACATAAGAATGACACTTCTCCTAATGTTGTGCACTGCACAAAGCTATTAGCCAGTCGCACTAAGGGGGGTAATGTGGCTCTGGAGAAGAAATAACAAAATCCCTTCCACTGTATCTCTCCTGGGGGTGAATTTCTCCCTACACAAATGATCCATTTGAAAGAACCTTTTATTACTTGTATTCTATTACATGCAATTATAATTTCACGTCACACCAAAAACAACAACAAAAAAACCAAAAAAACAAAAACTAAAGAAACCCTAACAACACACAAAGAACAAACCATCAGCTTGATTAGCTTAAACAAAGCTTTAAACAAGGAAGACTTGTAACTTATTCGGAAAAGAGACTCCTGAATTTGAATAAATACTTGAATTAACCTGATCTGATGTCGTAATTCAGTCTCTCAGTAGTCAAAAAGTGTACAAAAACTGCAAAAGAGTTGGCACGTTAAAAGGCCACTGTCCACCAGTAATACAGCAGTACACTTGTGCAGCAAATAAGAGATCATCAATGAAAGTACTTTTTTTTGTAACAGTAAATCTTTTGGTCAAGTTCTCTCTAAACACTGCAGGGTGTTTGTAGCACACAGGGATAAATGTACTTGCACAAGAGAAGGGACTTTTATACTTCAAACAACGAACTACATTTCCGCACACTCCGCGGTTGAAGTCAGTTTCATCGAATACACATCACAGACAACAGTTTGGGTTGAACATACACGAAAAACAACTGTACAAAAACCGCACCATTAGCTTTACAGTAAAGTAAGTGACAGCATTTGTTTCTGCACAAACATTCAGCAGGTCAGCGTGCGCACGCATTGACACAAGCGAGGGGTGCCGACGGACAAATCTGACAATGTCACACTGCGGGTTTAGACAGGGAACAAGTGTGGGGGGAGCATGCTACAAGTAAATGCGATGCAAATGACGGCTTCTCAGAGGTTTTCGCAGGTGTTCTGATCCGCGTAACTGGGGACTTCTACGAAGGTCAATACCTTTGAAGAGCATGTTACATAGTGCGTGCAGTTTGGGCAACAATAAACAAACACAAGTATTTTTTTAAATTGTCTGTAACAAGGCCCCTCTCAATTGCAAATCTCGAGGGAAACACATATCAATGACACAACTGGTCTCCGTGCACTTAACCTATTTTGAGATTGGGCTGTATTTTGTGCAGCACGATGTGACCGTTGTGGGGCTAGGGAGTCCCTTCACTCCGTGTCCTCACACACTGCTGTCGGGTAATATATTCTGCAAGGCCAGGGCGATGTCGCTGAAGGAGTAGCGGTCCTTGGCGCTCTCAGCCCAGCAGCGGTGCATCAGGATCTCCACCTCGTCCGGCGTGCCAACCGGCGTCTCCAGTGTCAGGCCGCCATCCAGCAGCGCCCGCATCAGGGCGTCGTTGTCCAGGCTCTCGTGGGGCAAGTGGCCCTGGGCAAACACCTCCCAGACAAAGACCCCGTAGGCCCAGACGTCGCTCTTGGTGGACAGCTCGTCCTCGAAGACGGCCTCAGGTGGCATCCAGCGCACCGGCACCAACTTCTGCCGATACTCGTGGTACTCGGCCCGGTACAAGTCGCGGCTGACCGCCATCAGGCTGACCTTGACCTCCATGGCCGGGCTGAGGAGGCAGTTGCGGGCTGCCAGGTCGCCGTGGATGAAGCGGTGGCTGGCCACGTGCTCCATGCCCAAGGCCACCTGGTTGATCACATCCAGCTTCTGGGCTAGGGTTAGGGGTGGTGGCACATTGGCGGTACCATTCTCACCCCGGGTGGCTTGCAGGTACTGCTTCAGGTCTCCCTGTCAGATTCCAAAGCAAAAAAAAAAACATGGGTCAATCTTTTCATCAATACTTGATAAAAGTATCCACTTTTCTTGTCTATAAACTTATGTGCAAAGCAAACTGGCTGGGAACAAATCTTCACAAGGGGAAAAAAAACACTTGAATCCTCATGAGATGGGCAATTTAAATTATCTTATCAACAACTTCCTCTGACACTCTTGTCAACGTTCTCCACAAAATTTTTACATTTAGCAAGAAAGCTCAGTAGGCTAAAGTCATTAGAGAAACAGAAATGCTGCGCCTTCAATTCTGAAGCGTTTTGTGCCAATTCTTATTGGCTCATTGCAATAAACACTGACCAGATAACGTGTTCAAATCTCTCATTTTGTGTAAATCGTGATGAGGAAATATCTGTGAAACTGAAGTCTTTGCTACTGAGAAAAACATGTGCAGTAGGTGATGCCAGAAGGCTGGGCATTAAATATCTAAGGTCTGTGAAGCATTAGCAGGTCAGATAAAATTCAAGTGTTAGTGTCGGCCATCCCAAACTCCCCACTCAAGGATAACCCACAGTAATGTCAACAGATACGTTTCCTTGGCTAGTACTTGGCCAAGAGTCACCCACCATAGGACCATACAGGACAGGACAGCACCAGACGGGACAGGACAGTTCTGGAAACGAGGAGACAGGACCAGACTGGAAAGATGAGACAGGACAAAACAGGACAAGAGAGGACAGGACAGTACAGGGAGGTGGTCGGTCACTCACCCACTCCAAGTACTCGGTGATCATGAGCTGGGGCTCAGCCTCCCGGCACATGCCAAGGAGTTTGACCACATTGTCGTGGCTAAGCTTACACAGCATGTCCATCTCCCGACGGAAGTCCAGCTGCTGGCTCTCGCTCTTGGTCTGCAGGGCCTTGACCATGACGGTGGTGGCCTCCACGCCTTCTGTGATGCCGGCCGCCCGGGCCAGGAACACCTCACCGTACACCCCGTGGCCTGCAGGAATTCAACGAAGAGCTGTATGATCAGCTGCTACCACTTTAAACATGTAGGCACTTGGATAACCTTTTTATTCACTGATGTATCCCAAAATGAACACAAACGGCTGAGACTGTTTGAGACAGTACAGGGAATAACAGGCAGGACAGTTGTGGGTGTTACGGGGACTGATAGTTTAAATCACTGCATACAAAAAGTTCCTCAAGTGGCCATTTCTTTCTGTCCAGTTTGAAAACCAAACACTAGCGGAAAAAAGTTGCAACTGTCTACAAAGGGATGCTACTATTTTCCCATGATGCACAGCAGGTAACGCAGGATCTGTACACACAAGTGCAGGTCTGCCATATTTTCAATTGCTTGAATGGAATCCTATTAATTTAGGTGCAATATCATGGCCATGTCTGAAAGGTCTCACCGATGACCACTAGGGTTTGTAGGTCGTGGCGAGGGAACTGCAACTTGTCATAGCTGCCTCTTCGCCCACCAGCTGCGGCCTTGACCAGCGGACCCATGGCCATGTCCCCGTTACTCATCCCGGCCACCTTGGGCTCCTCATCCCGGTACGAATTGGCCGAGGGCGGGTGGGGAAGGCTGCCGTTCAGCTTGGCCACTTCACCGTCCGGCCCCGGCACGGCCCCCGCCCCGGGGTTCAGGGCTGCTGCAGCTTCAGCCGCCAACGCCTCCTCTTTCATCAGGCGGCGCTGTTTGCGCCGGCGCTGCCGGCACCACCACATCAGGCCCACCACCAGGATGATGTAGGCCACGGCGCAGCCCACAGCGATGGCAATGGTGCGGTGCATCAGCTGCGGGGTGAACGGGGTGGAGCCTGGGGGAGTTCCCTCTGTGAAGGAGTACAAGCCAATACGTAAGGGCAAAAATTAGGAAATGTCTCAAAACATGGAATCCCAGTATCATGGCTTTATTCTGAAAGGGGAGTCAACGTTCTTATGAGAGATCTTCAAGCTTTGCCTCGTGCAGTGACAGGGACACCAACTTTTCAGAAAAGGTGGCGAAGCTAATCCAAAACTTGTTTACTAACTTTTACAGGAATTGTAATGAAATAGCCCCTGTGAAAGCCGTGCTTGTAAATGACCACAAGTACACTGCACAACGATGGCAAAAATTGGCTGCCTTAAACTTCCTTGCGGTGTAAGGTTATATCAAGTTTCATGATATCTACTGCTAGTGTTAATGTTCAAATAGCATTTCACTAGACTTTAAAAGGGACTTACTCCTGACTATCAGTGTAATCTCAGCACTGCTCAGCCCTGCGTCACTGCCAGCTAAGCACTGGTAATTGCCGGCATCGGATGCCTTGACCTGTTTGATGAAGAGTGAGCCGTTGTCCAGCTTGACCATGTGAGGGGACTCCACCTTAGCTGGAGAGATGCCCATCCAGCTGATCCTCGGAAATGGGTCGCCTGTGGCCTGGCAGTCTATGGTCAACGAGTAGCCCTCATAGCCAGTCGCGTTGCTGGGGACGATGGTGAATCTTGGACGTACTGTAGTGTGATAGAGAGAAATCAAATAGCTTGGGTGATAAAAGAGCTTTGCTCATTTGAGCGAAGGCCGCGTACGAGTGTGTACGCTGGCTCAAGGCTGGATGGTACTTGCGGTAAATGCAAAGGCAAAGTGAATTTGATATCACCAAATGCTTGCAGCAAACTTCCGTTATGCTACGGGGACACGGGAATCCAATTATTTCTGCATCTTGAAGGGACTTTGCACAGGCACTGATATGGAATGGAAACATACTTTACGGTAATCTGAAGAGATGAAGTTATTACGGAGGCTCTACAAACATGTGGATGTTCTTTAACCCTACGAGGGGGACAGAATCCACTCCTCCCCCTAAATTCTCTCTAATATCATTGTAGCCCATTTATTTCATGTGCACAGCCTTGAGGACTCTTTAAGTAACATCTTGCTGTCCTTTTGGCACCAATTTTTTGAAAACCGGATGTGCTATTCCCGAGATAAGTCAGCCAAAACACATTCTTTTTCCACTGCGTGTTCGATACACATGCACCGTCCTGTCTGAGGTCGTGAACTTCACAGGACCATAGCATCAAAACCATATGTCTCATTGAATTGAAACTTTACCCATAATAGTAAATGGAATCGTCGACCATGCAGTGGAACTTCATGTACATGTATGGACTGGATCACGCGTATTTATGGAACATGTGCCAATGTATTGTAAATGGCCATGGACCATGCACAAACTGGTCATTCGTCCGAGGTGGGCACATCAAAAACTCTGATACGTCCACTATCTTGTAGGCCATGCCATTGCACGGGTCCATGCTCTGAAGTGAGAAGTTGAGAACCGACGCCCTCGCTGGACAGTAAGAGATTCAGACTCTGGTGCATAAGTTCGGGCAACGGCTAGGCTATTTCTTACCCACTTGACGATTTTGCCTGGTGTCATACATGTATACAGGGAAAGTACAACACATCACACGCAAGTACCAGGCAAAACTCACCAATGTTGAAGCGGCAGCCACACGTAAAACAGTTATCGAGCTTCATGGCTTCTGGCCGTAAAAGCTTCGCAGTGCCGTGCGTGCAATAACCAATGTGGTTTGGTACCCTGACACAAGGGTATTTTACAGTTCATTTTTGTACCCATTTTCCCATGTGTGGAAAGGTGCCCTGCTAAATGTACAGCATGCTATACGTATACATGCAGGAGCAGTGACTCGGATTCAATGTTTGGAGCTGTCACTCACGTGCGCTGAGCGGTGACTGGGACTCCGATTTGATGTTTGGAGTTGGCTCTTTGAATGTGGAACCGCCAATGGTGGGTATCCAATTCTTCACAAAAGCAGAGGCGCCGATTCCGATTTTTGGGGGGAACCGAGGTTTCACTTGGAACCGGGAGTACCGCACAAGCCTATTCTGATTGCCATATTATTGCCTGTCATGGGATTCATACTGCACGCGGATGAGGAATGCTCACCAAAGACGTCAATGGTGACAGTGGTGTTGATGACCTCATCGCCGGCCGTGGCCACGCACATGTACCGGCCGCTGTCCGACTTCTTAGCCGGGTGGAAGCTGAGCTTGCCGTCCGTCTCGTTGATGTGGGCGTCCCAAGGGGTCGAGGGGCTCGGCAGCTTGAACCAGCGGATGATGGGCGGGGTGCTGGCTGAGGCCCGGCAGATGATCTTGGAGTCTTCGCCCAGCTCCAGGGGCTTGCTGTTGGGGGCTGGGGAGAACTTCAAGACCGCTGAGGGGGGGGGGAAGAGACGGGAAGTGGACAGGAAAAGGGGAGTGGACAAGAAAAGGGAAGGGAAAAATGTAAAATCCTGCAATTTCTGCTCCTTCAGTTTAAGTCTCAACTCTTCACAGCAAAAGCAACAAGAGCATTTAACAGACTCAAACATTTCTGACACTTCTTTCCACTTCTTGCTCAGAAACCTGTGCTGGATAAACTTATCATACACTGGCACTCCAAAAAGAAAATAACTATTTTGGTCTCCCTTTAATGTTCAAAATCTGCATATTACAATTAGTGTCCATTTGATATGCTAATTCGACAAACCATTCCCAAATATATGAAAAAAAGACAAAGATTTGACAACAGTCCATAACAGACACTAGCATTTTCAAATCAAGATACTGGTGCCAGGCTGCATTCATTTGAGATCCAGTGGCGGCGACCGTTTGGTCTCTGATGGTAATACTTACGTATAACTCTTAGTGTGACTTTAGCAGCATCAGTGCCAGCAATTGTGGAAACTTGACAGACATAACCTCCTTCGTCACTCATCATCAGGTTTCTGATGTGCAGAGTTCCATTGTCCAAGGTGAGGAATCTACGGTCCTGAAAAAGAAAAACCCGAGAACTTAGGCTTGGCGATCCTTAACATGTCTCTTTTATGGTGGGGGTTGACATCAGTGTTGTAATGGAGTACATTTCTAGGAGTATACATATACAAGTATGACATGAATAGGAGTACATGTACATTTTCAAAAGTAAAAGTATCAAAGCAGTACTAGAGGATGGTACGAATGGCACTTTTCATACGTTTTGAGATAAGTTGTTTGTTAAACGCAGTATAAAAGAAAGAAAAGATTTCTCAAAAGTGCTGGAAAGTAAACACAATAGGTTTATTGCATAGAAATAATTCTGCTTACATACATTCTCTTTAGCATGGATTTCTGTGTTCATTTTTGACATAAAGTTTTGACAAACTCTCACTTCTCTGGCCAAAATGATGACACTGGTGCCTACGGTATTTTTCAAGTATTATTTTTCACATCAAAGGTGATAAATAATAGTGTCATACAGCCATTCTTACACGCTTTACCATTTTTCCCATTCTGGCCATCAACTGGGACTGGAAGTCAAGGTATGTTTGAATATAAACTTGGGAGATCTGGGCACCACACAGTTCAGACTTTTCTTGTCATGGCACAAGAGAAAAATAGCAACTGCAGCCTTACATTCAAGGATGAATGCTGCAGGAAATAACGGAAATTACAATCGAAACAAATATGGAAAATGTGCACAAAGTGATTGTTGGTTGCAACCTTATAGTCGAGTACACATTTCTATGAGTAGGAGTACAAAAACTTCTGCGTGAGTATACGTATGAGTACATGCACAAGGAAGTTTTTCTTGCAAGTATGAATGAGGAATGAGTAAACCTTCATGAGTATGAGTACCAGAAACAATGTACTCACATGGATGCAAGTACTACCACACTGGTTCACATGCTGTCCAAATTTGCTTCACCTCAAGGGTATTTGAACAAAATTATATTCAAAATGGAGGATCGATGACTGAATTTGACTTGCAGGCAATTATAAGGGTGACTTCAGAATCAATAATTCTGAAAGAAAGGCCTAATGCTTGACTTAAAGACACATGCACCATGGCTTGGCAACCGTGACTGCAACTCTAAAAACACACCTGACCAACGGGCCGCTACCCGCGTTAGCGAGTTGCCAAAAACTGGCAATTTGACAACAGGCCCACCCACCTGCAGCTGGCTGTTGCCATCCCCCTGCCATGTGATCCGCGGCTTGGGATTGCCGTCCGCCTGGCAGTGCAACCAGGCATCGGACATCTCCTTGGCTGCTGTGTCCATGGGCCTCGTCGTGAATTCTGGGACAGCTGTGGTTACAAATGTTCACAAGTGTAAGAGAGAGGTCCCAACAAGGGCATGTTGGGCTTTGGGAAGCTACTTTGAAATTTCGAACCCTTGAATGTCCATCCAGTGGTTTTTCCCTCAGGGGTGAAATTAAAGGATGAAATCAAACCAACAAAACATCTAACAAATGGGGATGTGAACGATGACAATACCAAATCACTGCCTTTCAGGACTTTTAATATACCTACATGAAGCTAACTGCGGGAGATCCCTAAAACTGTGTGAATGTTGGACTTGTCTTTTTGGTGTACGGTAAAACAAAAAAAGTAGCAATCCTGAATAATAAACCCTACAAAAATCCTGAATTTTTAAAATCAAAATCAGGAAATCTCTGAAAAAACAACATGAGAAATTATATCCCCCGTGCCTACAAGTACAGATGTACTGTTAACAAAAGAGTTACGTGTGATACTGAAAAAAATACCAAAGATAGGAAGGCAGAGTCAGGATTCCCACAGAAATCTACAACCAACTTCCACAGCTTTTCCCAGGATTAAAATATGACAATTTCCATGACATTTACATGTAAAGCCACTTGACAGAGAAAACTTGCTTGGTACTGTGAATGGAAGCCACTACTCTATGAACTCATAGCCTCTATGATAGACTGACATAGAGAGCCTGTAAATGTATCAGCATTCCGCAATTGCATCACAAGCGTCCCATCACAAATAACCTTTGTATGACCTTGTCTTCCATGGCTCTTTCCTCTGAAAACAAGATTCTGGAACACCCTTCTCCCCCTATTTTCCATGATTTTCCAGGATGATTTTTTTCCCCAGCATTGTTTTTCCATATTTTCCATGACCTTCGGAACCCTAACAGTAAAAAAATCTCAGCCTCTTTCCCACTTCCGATCCAATGCTTACTTGCAACGACGACGCCCAGCTGCCGCGTCTTCTCCCCAGCAATGTTGGAGGCTTTGCAGGTATAGTTGCCGTTGTCCCTGGCCTGCAGCCGCCGGAACACCAGCAGCGTCCCGCCCTCAGTGTGCACTCGATCCTGAGGGTTGCTGCTGAGGGGGCGGCCCAGCTGGTCCAGCCAGCCAAGCTGGGGTGCTGGCACACCCCCTGTGGTGCCGTACGGGTAGGTGCAGTTGACCGACAGGGGCTCGCCATCAGGCACAATCCGTGATCCCAGGACAGGCAGATCTTCCACCTCTGCAAATCAGAGGATAAGTTTGAAATAACTGCTTACTGCTTTTGTGTCACAATAAGCAAGATCCTTATCTCAGCAGTGTATGAGCACAATAAGATTTGAAAATCTTCCTGCTGTGATAAAGAACTCAAAGTCTGTGTCCAAAATTAATGTGGGAAACAATGCAATGACAATTCTTGTCTTGACTTCAGTAAACAATTCCGATATGTTTGACAGCTTTAGTCTTAGAAGACATTTATAACTAAAAACTTCTTTTTGATTAGACTACAGAATGCAAATTGAGTTGTCATGTGCCCCGAGGACATGCATGCATCCGCCTCAAGCAGAAGCACTCCCTCACTGGTTGAAAAGAGCCATGCTGGTAGGGAGGATTTCATTTTGTTAGTAGCGATGCGACCACGAGGCATGCATTTCATGGTCATTCGTGAAACAGCGAAGTACAGCTCCAAAGGAGCCTCCACTGCTAAGAAAATTGCACCCTCTCTTGGTCCAGGCTCATTATATGAATCAGCTGCTTTTCTCCCGAAGCAAAAATCCCACAATCCAGTTGCAACACTTGAGCAATTTGGAATTTTGAATCAGCTTACTTTCTCCAGCTCCTGGAGAAGGTAGTGAGCACAGAGTGTTCCCAGTATTACGTTGGTGAAGGGCACAATCATCGTATTTAAATTTAAACAAAAGGAGGGTCTTACTTGCAACGACCAGCTGGGCCTCAACATCAGCCTCCCCGACGTCATTCCTACCGATGCAGATGTAAGTCCCTTCATCCATCAACGTTATATTGTTGATGACCAAAGTTCCATTCCGGAAGATCTTGGTGCTGTGAGAGAGAGTACAGGCAAGGGAGATGGGGGGGGGGAGGAAGAAGCGAATCAGGAACTTTTTCCCGAGAGCAACTAACAAGGAATGTTTCTCTCCTATTTATTGTAGAATACGCCATATTGGCAGAAACTGACCCAATGGAAATAACACGACAAGGAAACCTGGATTGTTTTTGCATAATACATGTGAAAGCCAACCAGAACACCTATCAAAACTGAACATCAAAAACCTCTGAAATTAAACTACATGTACACTCACATGTACCAACTGCTGCATATTTGTTGAATTGATCACGACCATAAAAAGTCTGTGATTACCCTGTGCATGATCAAGTATACACATGTCCAAGCACCACAGTACGGGCACCGATCACGCCAATGTACATGTCCAAGCACGTGCTGTGTCCAAATTACTGGGATACAACTGCAAACAACATGCACGCCTATAAAACCTACTGGCTGAAAGCTTAACCCTCACAGTTCTGCATAAAATTTGGCTTGCAGTACTCAGTACTACAAAATACTAAGCAGTAGTCTGAGCCTGAAGGACCTAGCGCTACAAATTACTACTTCTGGCTAGGGCACCCTCCCTTGTTACTCGTACAGAGAACAATAAAGTTGTGCATTAATAGTGCCAGAGCACTGTATGGTACATTGTCTTGTATTGTTCTTGTCTATTGTTATTATTATTGTTATATTATTTTATGGCTTCAGAGAACAATAAGGTAATGTCATCTTACAAGTGACAGCGACGACTACCAACTAACTTTTACTACTATGTAATACTTTGTAGTATTTAGGGCAGTTAGGGTTGATGCATTTCTACTAGACAGGGTGCAATTGAAATTTGTAGCCTAGAGATTCAGATGTGGCTTTACCCTGCCAGTGACAAGCACACTTTGCCTTGGGCTTCTAACATCTATGCACAGGAGCTGGACTAACCTGGTCCCATTTGCCATGTGCACCACGTTGGTGCCCTCCTCCGACCAGCGAAAGTACCAGTCGATTACTGGGTCCGGGTTGCCCTGGAAGGCACAGTGGAACTCGGCCGACTGCCCAACAACCCCCAACACATCCTCCGGTGCCTCTTCGTTGATGGGAAAATCGGCATCTGTAGGGATGAAGAAGATGAAAGGCATGTGTGAGAATAGATAGGAGAAACAGAAAAAGCACTCCAAAGAAGCCCATTCTTTGTTATAACCAGAGAAAAGTTCTGTCTCTGACAATTTTTGTCAAAATAGGATTAAAAAAAAAAAAGGAAGATTACATGTAATAAAAGAGTAAGCGAACAAAATGGAGATGTGATTTCACTCTGTGGTGGCCACAACATACAACAAACATGAGTCAGGACATCACTAGGCATTTACAAGAATCCTGTGTGTGACTTCTCGCAGATCGTTTTTTAAACCTGCATGTTCCTTGTGAAAAGTGATATCTTGTGATGGGACCCATTTGATAACTTGCTATGCACACAGTAGCTAAGTTACTAATGGAGCCATATGAACGCATACAATACTGTAAGTGCCCACGACGAGGATAGGCTTAACCCTAATCCCCTAGCGTGCATGGAAAATCATATTGAAAATGGAGGATTGAGGACTGTTAGGCTTAATGACCAGCCCCATGAAAATTGTTCGTTAAAACCCTCTTTTGCTGTTAACGGTCACAGGCAGTCAAAAATTCCATCCAATTCTCCTTCTACAGTACATACCCGGTAGACGTGTCATTTGACTGATTTTGACTGACAGGGCAACTTAGTGCAGATTGCATCTTTGCATAAGAGGTTTCTAATGCATAACATTTCGCACTGCCTCCATTTCATTAAAGTATCCCGGACAAGTCCCCAGATTTAGGGACAAAAATGTAGGTATGAACTTTGCCCTTGCTCCATGGACGAGGAGCCTGCCTGTACACTGTATCATCTGAAATACCCATTCTCTGTCATTTCCATGTACCCGGTACATTGTATGTATCAAATCAAATTAAGAGGAAGGGTCTTGTGGACACGGGCACTCAGACATGTACATGCCAAGCCTGCTTGATGAAATTCTCTTCAGATAGGGAGTCCGTTCAACTCAGCCCCCCTGTGGAAGGCTCCACTGCAGTGACAGGTATACTGGCAAATAAGCTCACAGCAGCTGCTCGGCCAAAAACACTCCAAAAAGCACTTGGAGGGTGCGTTTCCTCAGTGCTACCGAGCGTGATTCACTTCCCATCTTGCCCATGGTGAATTACAGATGATGAAAAAAACAAAAAAAGCCAACAAAATGACGAGCGGGACTGCTTCACTGCTCACCAGTTGTCACACAGCTCGACACGACACATGGACGGCAGGTGTGACTGTCAGTTCACTGTCGGTGGTATGGCTGTCAAATGCAACTCATAAACGTACATTTCTTTTGCATGTCAATTGCCTCAACCTCTTCTCAACTCCCCCCCCCAAATCCATCAGAGAATTGAGTTTAACATGGGATGTGTCTCGTTACTGTACATGTACAGCCATATGTCCTAGGAAGGCAGAGAGGTACATGAACTGGTACAACGATGGATGGTTCAACTTTTTCCCACTTCAGATTCACCTCCGCAGTTGTAACATGGAGTGCACTGTGCCTCAGAAGTTTCTCCAGACCTCCAAATCCAACAAACAGCACAAACAAATGGCACAAAGACTTTGGCAAAGCTACATTAATACCCTACCGATGTAACAACGGCTGGGCAGTCAAGTCGTGAAAGCTGTCAAAACACTGCAAGACTTTCACAGAGCTGCATGTGCATATTGAAGGGTTCGGGCAAATTCGGTTTAAATCAACCCTAACCATGCCAAATAAAACCAGATTCTATGTGATTTACATTACATGCAGCCCTGAAGGTTTTGGACTACAAACAACAGAGGAAGAGTGAATCAGTCCAGCTACATATAAATTAATGAATGAAACCATCTCCGAGGGACCTTTGAGATGCTTGATGGCGGGGAACATACCAGTCCCAAGTGACCAGTCCACTGCTGTCGTTTGAATAAATTTCAGCATACCCTCATTAGCTCAAGCATGATGCAAACAACAGACTCCCATTAGAATGGAATTCTCTATTCTTTCTTTTACCTAAAATGGTGAGGGTGAGATTTCCCCCCGAGCTCCAAGCCTCCCCGGCCCTGTTCTGTCCCCGGCAGGAGTAGACACCGCTGTCTTCCACCCTTGCGCTGCGCAACCGCAGCCGGCTGCGTGTCAACTCCACGTTCTCGTCTGGCGCCAGCCGCGCCTTGTCCCGGAACCAGACGATGTCCGGGGCCGGGTTGCCTTCCACTTTGCAGTTGAGGGTGACACGGCTGCCCTCCTCAATCTGGTCCAGTGAGGAGGGTGATTTTAAGGTGACTTTGGCTGATGGCTGTATCCCTGCAGGCAAAGGAGAAGACCAAAAAAAAAAATTTGAAAACCACCGATGGAATTCTACTAGTAGGTTTCACTCAATGAAAGTTGAGCTGAACTTTAACACTCAGCCAAGACTTGGATTTCACAGTTGCACACTGAAACCCCGCTTACACTGTACAACAGGCAAGTCGTGTGCACAGATCAGAGAAACAGATTCTCAAACATGCATATTTAAATATGTGCCAGTCATTCTGACGAAATGAAAATTGTGCACGTAAACTTCCGGTGATGAAATTGAGTACCAGCATGTATACATCTAATAATTTGTACATGTAAATCACACAGTTTGACAGAAACTGATCTGCATTGAGAATAAATCTGAAGGGCAGATGGCATGAACAGGGTTTGATTTCTAAAAACTGGGTTCTGATTAATTCACAAACGTGCTCAATTTCGTCAAGTTTCTTATCCCCAACAGTACATGGACACCCATACATGTACATGTGCAGGTACAGCACATACATGTAGCAAGTATTAACCCTTCCATTAATTTTGCTGCCACCCTGCTGAACCCAACAACATCCAAGAGCTGTTATGTGTGAAGCCTGCTAAGTCAAACACACAACAGCAGGAACACTTTGTTGGATCCTGTTGGGTTCAGCATGGCTTGGGTAAACACATGCATGTACATGCACACGTAGGATAAAGTTCACACAACAAAGGAATTCTCAGAGGAGAGATCACTGGTCCCAACGGTCATCCCCACAGAAATACCTAGCAGTCTTTAACATTCAACGACTTCCTGCAACATTTGACAACGACATCAGCACTTGGCTGATAATGTCCCTGGCATCTGCCAGAGTAACATCTGCTAGAGTAACAGTCTGAGCACGCTCCACTGGATCGTCAGCCATAATTCAGGTTGCCCGGGCGATTATGTTCAATTTACAACCACACCAAATGCAGTAAATCAGGCCTGCTGAGCTGGCCCTCATAAATCGCCCCGGGAGGATTTTGCGCAATGTCTGTTTTGATTACACTTCAAAATTAATATTCCCTCACATAAATTTCCACTAATAAGCAGCTGAAGATCATTTCCATTCCCTTCTGTTTGGGAAGTAACATCATGCATTTCAGGAAGTATATATGCGGCAAAGGTGCAAATAAATCCGTGAAGAGTGTTCTGTTTTTGCCTCCAGAAAGTATGCCAGGAATTTTGCAAACTTTTGCAGCCAGTGTCTTCTCTTCACAAATGATGACTGCAACTTTGACACCTACACATATGTACTTCTCAATGATGGCTATAAGCAATATTTAGCAATGTTAACGTTCACATTGCACGTACACAGTGTTTGTAGTAGTTGTCTTTCTCAACTGTCTTCTTAATGCCAGCCAATTAATTTTGTACACTGAACAAACACCATCTATGGACTCTTGCTTGTAAAGGTGCACACAACAATGTCAAATTTGCCCACCATATTTCAATTCAATCCTGCTATTTTTGCCACATACTTCAAATATCGGTACTGCCATGGAGGAAGGAATCCCTCTCACTTACTGAACTGGTAACAGCAAAAAACCCATTGCTGATACCAGCCCGTATCAAATATGACACATTAGAGACTACATTATGACCTTAATCGTACCCATTATCCCCAATGTGGCTAGGGTCAGGAGTTGGCATGAGAACCTGAACCATACAAAATCAGCTTGCCCACCTACAGTGAGTGCTGAGGTACAAGCGATGACTCAACTGCATGTACATGTCCTGTACATGCATATGTGCATATGGAATTAAGCCCTTGCAGATGAAAATTCCACACACATGAACTGAGCAGTGAAAACACACTCTTACCTTCAGCCAAAGACAGAAAATCTTTGGCAGAAGTTGCCCCCCCCAGGGCAGGTTAATTTAATTAAAAAACAGGAATCGCTTTTCCAAATTGTGCTGAACTTGATTTTCATGGTGCACATGTAAAATTATCCCACATGCCAGCCGCTGGCGAGAATAGGGGAAAAAAAAAAGCGACGTGTACAAAAGAGAAATATATATGCGCGCAATACTGACAAATCGGGTGAAGCAGGTACGTGACTTGTATGTGCAGGCAAGAATAACATTGTGCCCAGCCGTCCGCCCATGCCTCCTGGACATGGCAAGATTGAAATGAAATCTGAACTTATTTCTTTCTTTTCCTTTGATGGCATCTAATACTCAACAAATTTATTTCTTAATTCAATGTGATGTCCTACGTGTATCACTAATGTGTCTTACATACTGCTATTTTTACAACCTGCATGTACATGTTCACGTACAAGTACAGTACATGTACGGAATGTATACCGTATCTGCACAGAATGCACTGCACTACAATGGATCTTGTTCCTGAGGAGGCCATTTTTGATCTTGTTCATCGAATTATTATAAATACACGTAGTTAACTAGTGGATGGGATGGTATCAGACTACAAGTAGTTTAAAATTCATGCGAGTTCCAAGCCTCCCTTTCAATTTTTCTGAGTCTGGAGTAAAACACTGAAGTACCGGTACATGTACATGTGTGCTGTATCACAAATATGTAATTTGAAAGAAAATTTCATTTCTTTCTTTCATTGATGCTTTTAACTTCATAAATAAGGTCCACTGTAGTACACAACATCACATTCTCTCTACATGTACAAAATACATGTACATGTATGTACATGTATGTATCTACATTATTTACAGTGTACACACCAGGACATTTACAAGTACACACGCATGTACATGTAATCGTATATATCAAGTAACATACCAGTGATTGACTTCTGCACGTATATTGAAGACAATTCTGTAACATACACAAAGAAAGAATTTCCTGATAACATGAGGGTGAAAGGTCTACTGTTCAAGTCTATATGTATATGTACATGTACATTAATGTAGTCAAGTTTTACACACATGTATATATACATACACTACGTATGTGTAGAAAAGTATGCACACTGTAATGGGAAGTGTTGCTCTCAAACTGACAACTGAGAACAAATTTCAAATTTACGTGTGCTCAATATTTGTGCACATAGAGATGAAATCTCGGCTGCACATAAACTGTGTGCACAGTTAAACTGTGGACAGTTACACTACTGCACGTGTGCAAGGTGCAAGCAAAATGTCGGCAAACAAATATATATGGAACATGGCATCTGGAAATTTGATGGATTTGACAGAAAAGTGTAACACACGCATGAATGCTCACAACCGCTCGATGACATTTGCACTGATGCTCATCACGTTCAGTGCAGACGTGTGGGAGGTCTAGTGCTCCAAGGGTTTAATCAAGAAAAAAAGTACAGATGCCAGTTCACTTGAATGCACCCATTTACTGCATCTAACATCGTGTGATGAAACTCAGCAACCACTTCTTTTAGCACTTTTCAGCTCTACTAATAAAGCATATGCATGTACTGCCATTCAGTGTGGGGTTGTCGAAGCCACTCAGAGACTTTGAAAGTGCATCCATCTGATATGTGGAAATGTACGTACACGTGCACGTTTTGCAGTTGCAAAGGAAAATCAAATGTGAGTCTCAAAAGTTCCGCCCACTTCACATTCTATTACCTTCTCTGCAGTTGATTGTTTCAAAGCTACAGGTACATATATACGTGCACGGTATTTTTACATTTCAGGGGGTTTTTTGCTTGTTTTTGTCGGGAGTTTTCAAATCAGATTGAACAGCTTCTAAACCAAGAACATCACTGTGTAACTGCTACAAGCCAAGGATCTGATTGAAATGAAACAAGAAACACTGATTATAAAATAAACATATCGGCACACGGCATGTAGTGCACATGCACGCAATGGTTTCACACTGGGTGGACGAACATTTTGTACATACATGTACATGAGTTCTTAACGTACACGTACGTGCATCCATTCTCAATACAAATCGTGCATTTCAAAAGCAATGATCCCAGTACAAAAGAACTGTTAAGTGCTCAATTGGATTAATAAATAAAAACATTTCCTTCGAAAAAATTTTTAACAAAACTATACCATTTTTCTCAAGTACATGTAGAATTCTCTGCAAAATGCATACAGCTCCGAAATTGAACAGCCCCTAGAAATGCACAAAAATGCATCAGTGCTTACACAGTACCGGTACCTACAGGTGCGTCTACATGTACAGTATGTGGTCATTTGTCAAGTTGGACAACTGGTGTGGTCACAAACCATGGATCAGAGATGAGACTTAGAAATGTCAAAACCAAGGCCCCAAAGTTCACATATTAACATGTACAGGCTCTACACTGTGAATCCAAGATGCCACTTTGAAATTTCAAAACCAATGCCCCAAAAGTTCACATCTGCCCTGCTTACTCAAACCACATACATGTACAGTATGTGAACTGGTATAAAACAATTAAAGGCAGGAGGGGCAAAATCATGCATTCGCTTGAGCTAGTACAATACCTGTACATGTAGCCCATAGAGATCCATCCAAGAATGCTAACATTGTGCATGTACCGATTGTGTGGTGATTGATAGGTGAAGATTAAACACTGCAAGTCAGATATTCCCTCAATTCAGACTTTTCATCGTGGGGAAGCTGTTTACACAGGGCAGGCAGACAGGGTGTCTGCTAGTATGGAAGCAATGCTTCAAGATATGCGCACTTTGAATCACAGGGAACGACCAACAGTCTCCAGACACTGTCTGCACTACGGCTAGCATTACAGCACAAATTGAAGGGTAGTGCAAGAATAATTAATCTGTTATTTGATTTCTTGATTGTTCAATTATCATGCAGCAGTTCAGCAACATTCCAGTTAATCAACAACCAGTTCACACAAAAGAAAGCTAAACTCTTTGAAGACTGCATGTGAGCACTTGCCAAAATTGCCAGTACACATGTATCATATCCAAGCCCAAACCCCAAAAATTCCATACATGAAAGTCTTTCCAAGGAAGTTTTGGCTATGAGCACAAAGAAAGACTCTATTTCTGCCGGTTCAAAATTACAAACGGCATAATACGGTAGCTGGCCA